GTTATACAACAAACCGACTCTAGTGATTTCAGTTTGATCTATTTGATTCTTAAAACTCCTTTTTAATACTTATGCTCATATTTTTCAAAATATATCCTATTTAATTAGTTTGTAATACAAAAAATTAATTTATGCATAATTATAATAAATGAAAATAAGTATTGGAGTGTTACATATGTAACGATGTGTATATATGTTTTGCTAAAGAAATTCCCAAGGAAAAAGAGAAAAGAAAAAGGCAAAATAAAATTCTCTCTGTCTCTCTATCTCTTACGTGTTTAAAGCACAGAATAATTCAAAGCAAATATTTAGAATATATAAGGGGCACAAAGAGACTCTACGTTCATGTTCAAAGCAAAAAAAATTCTTGACTGGTCGATTTGAGTCAATTACTTCTAAATACTGCAAAGAATTGATACCTTTCGTTAAAAGAATAGTGGTTATATCCGTTAAAAATATTCAAACATGTTGGTAGTTGGTTCTCACCTTACATTAAATTGTAGATTAGTCTTATTCTAATCTGAAAAAAAAATACTGTTATGCTTCGCATTTTTGCAACTTTTTTATTTTCCGCTATCTATCATATATATATATATATATATATATATGAGGAGGATTCAAACAACACCGGTGTAACTTTTATTAAGTGTTACACCGCTCAATAAATTTATATTAAATGTGAATTTTGTAAATTCAACTGTTAAATTGAAAATTCATATCACATTATATGTGTATATTAAATTTTAGTATATTTTAAAATAAATATATTATATCAATTTTATTTTTATAAGAATAGAGTATCAAATCATCTTGGATTAATCTTGGATTAACAAAATTTGATATACACATATAATGTGATATGAATTTTCAATTTAACAGTTGAATTTACAAAATTCACATTTAATATAAAATTATGAGCAGTATAACACTTAGCAAAAGTTATACCGGTATCGTTTTATTCCTGAAATTTCTTTGAGAATACGAAATAGAAATAACTTTCCATACATATATTTATTTATTTAAGGTAAATAATAAAATATATTAAAAATTAAATATCTTTAATTTCATTGTTTTAAATCTTAGCAAATTATTTTCCTACTGTACCAAAAAACAAATCTTTCAAATTTTAGAAGTACTATTTAGTGATTACATGATAACCATCTAATCATATTAACTCAGGAATTATTTTAAGAGAAAATAATGTATATATAAATAATGTAAAGTTCTTATACAATATTATCCTTTAACAAAATATGATTTGTGATAAAATTTTTAATTTTTACAACAGTTATTTTAAATTAAAATGTCATATATATCGCAACTATTCTGATTTTAATTGACGTACTTTTAAGATTATCATTTAATAATATGATAATCTAAAATAATGAGATAATCTAAAAAGTACTTTTAAGATCAGTTAAAATTTAACCAATCTTAAAAGTACTGTAACTATTTAAAAAACGTAACGCTCTCTCTTAGTCATTCTTTCTCGCATGCGCCTCCCTTACTTGCCCTGTGAACACAGGCGTGCCCTTGCGTCTCCATCTCCCGCATTAGTCATTCTCCCTCACGCACGCTTCCTTCACTTCACAAAGGTAGTCCCTTATGCCTCCGTAGCTTTGATGTTCCTTGCAACGATCCGTCACGGTCTCTACACTTAGTGGAATCGCAATACAACTAGTTAACTAAGAGAATATTAAACTGGATAACACATACATACAGGCATAAATATAAAGATCAAAATAATTAAGTTTCTGTATATACAATATAGCACCATATATGTACAGTCATCCCAAAATATTCCTTAGTGCCGGTCAAGCACTAACAAAAAAAAATTGTTACCCAGAATGGTAACTCAAAACACGAGACTCAGCTCCTCGTCTCACAACGATCATCTCTACTCCCAAGCTATCCCTGACCTGCTCCCATACCAAGTATGATCATCGCAGTTCCACCACATGGAAA